CGCCCATCCTCGTTCAGCTCAAAACCCAGATGTGGCAGCTGCTGAAGGGTCACGACCACCTGCAGGACGAGTTCTCCGTCTTCTTTGACCACCTGCGCCCGTCGGCCAGCCGCTTGGGGGACTTCGAGGAGATCAACTGGACGGAGGAGAAAGACTATGAGGTGGGATCGCCTCCCCCCAACCTCCCCGGGGTAAACTGGGAGGGTTGGATGAGATGAGGCTCCCATACCACCCTGGCTAGGGTCGATGACAACGAGAGCTGTGGCTCCCCCCCCCCCAAATCTCTGGATTAAGGGCAGGAAGAATCTGGACAGGGAACTGGGGGCCGTGAGACGCTGCGTGGCTCCTCAGCCCCCAGGGCAGGGGCCAAACGCTAGTCTTGCCACCGCGTTTAATGGCGGCGTCTGTCTTTCTCCTAGTTTGACGGATTTGAAGAAGTCTGCCTGCCGGACGTGGAGGAAGAAGAGGAGCCCCCTAAAATCCATGCTCCCTCGAAAAACAAGAGGAGGAAGGAGATGGGAGGTCAGAACGGCGAGAAGGTGAGAGCGGAGGGGGGGCAGGCGAAGGAAGTGGAGGATTCACAGAGAGGCTGACGCCTCCAGGATCTTCTGCGTGGTCTCCATAACTCGCAGGATTAGGTTTTGGAGATCTCAGACCGGCTCCATGAGATTCCCTTCAGATCTTAAGGAGGTGTCATTAAGGCAGTGTGTATTCATGCCGCCCTGATTGAGGCAGCCAAGGGTCGGTCCTCGGATGGAGCCCTCCTCTGTTGCCCCTTCCGCCGGCCTGGAACAAAGGTTCCCCGATCCGTCCGCGTTGACTTAATGCTGGCACACGGCTGCCCTCCTGCTGCCTATTCCAAGATTTAAGGCCGCGTTTCCATTTTGGGCACAACCGTGAGCTTGACCAAAGCGGGTGTAAGCCGGGAGAGGCGAGGGAGGGGGAAACCTGGTTTATGATGCCCAGAAGGATGATTGGAACAAGCCAGGAGAGCCTCCCAGGACTAAGCGTCGCGGTGCCTTTTCCGAGTTGGCCAAGGGGACAGCCTACACTGCCAAAACGGTCTCGGAAGGCGTGTGGGTATTGGATCTCCTTGCCCGGCAGGGCCAGGATCAGAGAAGCCTGGCTGGGGCCCCTACGTCTTCAGTGGGAGCTGTAGGAGCCCCATCATCATCATCCTCGCCCTCTCCAGGGGCATTTCGCCATGCTGCCTGCAAGCAGCTGGCCTATCCTCGAGCATCGAGGGAGACATGGTGGGCGCCAGCTGACTTTGGCTTCTCCCTGCGGGGTTTCAGGAGCCCGAATGGGCCGAGGGGGCCAAGGAGTGCCCCTCCTGCCACGAGGGGAGCGGCGACCTCCGGATGAAGAGGAGCAAGCGGAGGAGCTGCGGCCACTGCGGGCATAAGGTCAGGAGATCGAACTCAAGGAATGGGTAGAGTGAAGCGGCCCTTCTCCCACCTGGAGCCCCTCTAGGGAGGGTTAGCCCCTGCCTCCATCATCCCTAGCTAGCCGATAAATGCTGGGGGGACGATGGGTGTGGTTTGCCCTGGAGACAGTCTCGGGTTGGGCTGGTGTCATTCCCACCCGCTTTCTCCCCGCCCCGCCCCAGATGTGATTTTCCAACCAGGGTGTACGGAAGGTGAGGAAGCTCCCGGCCTTCCAAGGTTGGCGAGCACGAGTCCTTTACGGGGTGCCCCTCGCGGCTTTTTTGGGTCCGCAGGCAGGAGAAGGCAAGGCCTTTCGCGGTAAAGACCCGCCGGAGCTCCCCGAGACCCTCGCCGAAGGGAAGGCGCCTGCAGAGGAAGGCGCGGAGCCGAGAGAAGACGGCGAAGCCCCCCCGGGCAGGATGAGTGCAGCCGCCCGGAGAACAGAATCGGCCGGAGCAGGTGCGTGGCGGGCGATGGACCCCGAAAAGCCCCTGGGTTTGGGGCTTTGCTCGGAGAGGGACTTCCCAGGGCTCGAGAGGCAGTCCGACTCGTTTTTGCATTTCCGGCATCCGTGTTTCGCTTTGCAACATAGCCGCATGGGTGAGCCCCCAAGAAGGAGGCCTGCCTGGTTTTTCATTCTGCCCGTTTCTTTCTCCTCCTCCTCGCTAGGTTCTCCCGGGGAAGGAAAGCCACCTCCGTGCAGAGACGGGCCTTCGGAAGGGGCCGCCCCGCCCGGGGGCAAGACCCCGGAGGGGTGCTCCGTCCCGGGACTTCTCTGCCCCAAGAAGGCTGGTGACACTGCCAAGCCCTGCCCTGCCAACAGCGCCACCTCTTCGGCCCCACAGAGCCAGAGGGGGACTCTGCGAAAGCTACCTCAACTGAAAAGCGGCTTTTGCCCTGTAGAAGGGGGAAATTATGCCGGACACGGCCTACGGGACGAGGACCTCTCCTCCGGCCTCGGGAAAGACGTTTCAGAGCCCGAGAAAGCGAGGACTTTGGGCTCCGGCTCTCCTGCAGCTGAGAAGTGCCCGCAAACGCTGGTCCTTCGGCCCGGCCTCCCGGAGGAACCCCGGGCTCCCTCCGACCCAGATCTCCAGGACAAAGGAGCCGACAGCCTGACTACCTCTACGAATGTCAAACCCAAAGGAAGGGAGACGTGGGGTTCACCATCCAAAGCCCCTCTGGCGGGTACAAATGGTGGCCGGCGAGCGGAGGCAGAAGCTTTCGGTGCCGGCCGACGCCCCCCGCCGGCGGCTGATCCGAAAGCAACGGAGGGCTCGTCTCCGAGCGAGCGTTTCCAGGGGCCAAAGCTGCCGCTGGTGGCAGGAGGCCGGGAATGTGCGGTCTCCTTTCGGGGAGAGGACGTGGCCCCGAGGGTGGCTGAGGCCACCGTGTGTGCCAAGAACATCAAGGTCAGCTCCACAGGGGAGAAGGTCGTCCTGTGGACCAGGTAAGCCAGTCGCTCCACCGTTCGAGAATGGGTCCCTGGGGAAAAGCCAAGACAGGCATGCTTTCCCTGAATGCCCACCCAATCTCCTTGCTGAGGGCGGCTTGGAGCATGTACAAAGGGCCTATCTTTCCCACGCAGAGGGAAAGAAACCTCTTTTGCGCCTGAAAAAGGCTGGGGGAGGCGAGGGGAGAGAGGCTGGCCCTGGGAAGGGCGACCGAGCGTCCGACCCTCCAGGAAGATCATAACGGCACCTCGTCTCGGCACCTCTTCCTCCGTGCCTCCCGTTGAAGTGTGGAATTCTTGGCTTGGCTCCATCGGCGGAGCTTCGGAAACCCACGCCTCCATCTGCTCAAGCGCTGCTTGCAGGATCGGGAAGTCCAGCCCAAGGGAAGAAAGCTTTTAAAATATTTTTTTGAGGTCTTGTGCCCCCCCATGAGATGGTTCTCTCTTTACAGGGAGGCCGACCGGGTCATCCTGACCGCCTGCCAGGAGCAAGGGGCCAGCCCCGACACCTTCAGAGCCATCTCGCAGCAGCTCCAGAACAAAACGGCAGAGGAAGTAAGGCTTGTTGGTGGTAGTGGGGAAAGGGGGATTCTAGGCGTGTGTTGGGGTTTCTCCCCCGTTCCAAGCAACCCCGTTTCTAAGTACTCGCTCTGGAGTGGAGGCTTAAAAGCTGTGCCACTATTTGGACTGTAGGACCCCCCATATCTGCAGGATCAGTATCCACTGTCTGAAAATAGTAAAAAGAAAAAAAAAACTAGTAATACGTATTTTCATGACACATTTACCAGAACTGGCCACCAGAGACCATGCTATGTATTCTTCTTCTTGTAATAGATAGCATGAACTCTGATTTCTTCCATCTCTGGTAATACAGGTGGAAATATGTATTTCTGGATTTTTTCCCCTTTTACCATGGTATGTCTCGCATTTACGATTATCAGCATTTTTCGGCATCCACTGGGGCAGCTTGGAACCAGTCCCCGGGGGTACGGGGAGGGGGGGGTTCTATTCTATATCCTGTTTCAAAAGAAAAATCTGCTTTGAGCACTTTTGCGCCAGAAACAAGGTGCAAACGGATTGCCTTTCAAAAGCGTTCTTCTTTCACAATCTGGCTGGAAAGAGAGGGTGAAATATACATTAGAAGTGAAGATTTTTTTTAAGATTTAAATGGAGGTTCCCGGTGGGGTTGACTTCTTTTTTTTTTCTTTTTGCCAACTGAATTCCTACACATCATTAGCAACAAAAGCCACCCTGGGCCCCTTTTGAAGGAGGAAGGCAGGGTCAAAAGGTTTTAAATCACTAAATCAATACCCAAGGATTCTTCTCCCTCCATGTCCCTATACCTGGCAGCTGAATGAAAGGAGAGATACAGAGGTAGATTTCCTGCTGGAGGGAGCTGGCTGCTCACACAGGGAGTGCCTTAGAAATCTTGCCCCACAAAAGACCACAATTAGTCCAAGAATTCACGCCGAATCACAGGACGATGGGAGTTGGAAGAGGCCTCTGAGGTCATCCAGTCCAACCTGCGGCTCAAGGCAGGGATCCCAAGGCAAAGTGGATCTTGACAGAAGGTGGCCCCATTATCCCTCGAAGGCCTTCCGCGTTGGGAGCGCTCACCACCCCCTCCCGAGGTCACGGCTTCCATTCTCGTACTTCTCTGACAGTCAGAAAGTTTTTCCTGATCTTCTACCCGTCTGCCTTGCGTTCCCGTGCTGTCTGGCCTCGCTCATCTCTGACTTTGCTGTTCTCTCAGGTCGCCCACCGGTTCAGGGAGCTGATGACCTTGTTCCACACCGCCTGCGACGTCAGCTCAGAGGACGAGGAAGACGGCCTGAGCACCAGCAACACGGATCCCGTCCTCTCCGAGGAAGAGCAGGAGGAGACAGGTTTTTAGGAAGCAGCCGGGAGAATTTCTGGACTCCGGGCAGCCCTTTTTTCCCGTTCGACTCTGGCGTGCTTTGCGTCACACTGAAGCTGCCTTCAGAGACTCCTCCTCCCCCCCGGGCTCTGTATGAGATGGGAAAGAGTGGCCCTATCCTGCTCGGTGCTGGGAATCAACACAGGTTGCGCTCCAGGCTCAGATAATAGGAGATGTAAATATTTTTAATGGTAGAGAAAGGTGGATGTTTTCTCTACGGCCTTTTCCAGATGAATATTTATTGTGCCGTTGTATTTTAAGAAATAAAACCCATCTTCTTGCGGGAGAGCCGCAGGCCTCTCTTACAAGCGCAGAACGTGCCCCTGCGGCTGCAGCGTCAGATGCCGCCACCGCGCACCCTCGCCTTTATAGGGATTTACAGCAGCCCAGGAACAAAGGAGGTGGATTTAGCGCATTTTATTATAGGGTCATGTTTTAAGGGTCAGCCGGTGGCAGAAAGCGGTTAGTCTATTTCGTCCTCCGAATGGTCCGATGAACCGCTCTCTCTGTAACAGTGGGAAAGGGTCCTCAGCCCCTCCAGGGCCTCCAGGAAGTCGTCCATCTCGACCCCGACGGAAAAAAAGCTGGCCCAGCGCCGCACGTCCACCTGACGGAGGTCTTCGTAAAAACGCCCGAGGGTGCGCCGCAGGATCGCCGAGGCCTGGAGGGCCGTGAAGACGGGAACGCTTTCAACGGCTGTGGAGAGAGGAAGGGAAGGAAGAGGGAGGCACAGATTTAGAAGACTCCCCGTAGAGCGTTTGTTTTTTTTTTTGCATTAACGGACAGCTCCTCCAAGGTACGAGACACCAAGGGAAAGAAGCCGCTGAGAACCTTGATTATTTACTGAGAGTATGTTTCTACTCTGCTTTTCTACTAAAAATGCATAAAAGAGCAGAGAAAGCAACTTGCAAGCTTCTGAAAGGAATAAAAATTGGCAGAGTGGGATCCCACCCCACCCCCGTCCACGGGGGGATTGGTTCCAAGTGCACACGCACCCCCTCAATGCTCTCCACGGGGGGGTTGGCTCCAAGTGCACACGCACCCCCTCAATGCTCAAAAACACAGATAGCAAATGATTTTATAATATTGAACCGTTCGGTGCCGGTCCATGGGGGCGGAGACAGACCTCCCACCCGACCCGCACGCACTCACCCCCCCACAACATAGCTGATTTGCACAAGTGCCTGTGTGCCTTGCACAAGCACCGTGCTGCTGTTTGCATATGTGCGCAACACACTTGTATGCGCATGAGCGTGGGGGGTGCCCTGCCTTCCCCAGCCGGTCCACGGGGTGAAAAAGGTTGGGGACCCCTGCTCTAGTGAACAGTTCCAGAAACCATATGAAATTGGGATTTAAAAAAAATATATTTTCAGTCTGTGGATATGTGATCCAGCAGGTGCCGATTCCGCAGATAAGGGGGGGGTGTTTCCTACTGTAAAACCAAATTTAATGTTAAAGAAAACACAAACACAACAAAGGATCAAGTTAAAAACTACCCTGCAAGGTAGGTTAGACATCAGATCCTTGTCTAAAAAAAAAAAGGTGTATTTACTGCCTTAAGATCAGTCTCGGAAAGGGAAATCTGCCCTTAGCATTTTGGACAGCGAGAGATCTCCCACCCAAATCCTGCTGGAACTGGGCCTTTCGTGCTGGGCCCCGAGTTAGGGATGCAGGAGGCTGTCCCTTCGACCCCTTCGCTGCATTTCTTCCCCAACGCTCTGCTGTTTCCACGCGGGTTTCTACCGCGTCTCTGGCCGTGGTCTCCTGCCCGGTGGCTACCCATCCGCCAAAGCAGGAACAAGACAGGACAGGAAGCAAAAATGAATTCCCCCTTTGTCCAAAAACCCGGAGCTCAGCGGTCCCCTTCTAGGCGGACCTAAAAGCCCTGGAGGCGCCCTTACCTGCCAGAGTCTGCGGTGGCTTCTCCAGGAGGAACCCGTCTTTGTTCAAGAGAGGGGAGAAGTACTGAGGGTAGGGAGGCCGGATCCTGCAAGGGCCTTGCAGCAAGTGGGAAGTGCTGTGGAGCAAACAACAGCCGTCGTGAGCCGGAAGCGTCTCGGCCTCGCCCCCCCCGGCCGGTCACCCGCTTCCTCTCGCTCCCCATCTCACCCACCTGAAGGTTGTGGGGCAGACGGTGTGCACGTAACGGGCCAGAACCTCCTGTCCGGTTTCGCACATGTGGAGGACGGACTTCGGTTCAGCGCCAGAGGGGATGCGGCTGCAGGAGAAACAAATGGAGCAGGATTGAGGACCACGGAGGGTTCTGGCAGTTGTTTTCAATGGCAAGATTTGGGTCTCTTAAGAGATAGTTGTTAGGTGAGGAATAACAGAAGTTGGGCCTACTTGCAATCCTAACCAGCAGCTGTCACACGGATGCCCTGCCTTATTCCACCACATTGCCTGGCAACACTTAGTTAGCATAGAGCTTGGCTCTACTTGCAATCCTAACCAGCAGCTGTCACGTGGATGACTCTTATCTCACCACGTTGCCTGGCGGCACTGAATTAACAAAGTATTTCCATGCCACCTTTCTGCTGGAAAGAGTATCCATGCCAGCTTCACAGAAGTATTATGATATGAAGTTGTTCCGAGAGAAGACACCAGCTGGATTTTCCAGTGGTACATTATGCTAAATAAATGTGAAAAGCCTTAAGTCCAATTCAGGGGATTTAGCTGGTGCCTAAAAGAAAAAGCAGGAAAGAGACCGGGCAAATGGGAAAACATTCCACAGCTGGGAGAAAAAGACAGAAAAGCCTCCACACTCCAGCCTGTTCTTCTGCAGAGAGGCCTCCTGCAACCCACTCCAGTTGCCTTTCTAATTCCCCACCATGTATGGGTGTGAAAGCTGGAAAGTGAAAAAGACAAGGGGGGGGGGAATTATGCCTTTGAAATGTGGTGCCGAAGGAGAGCTTTCTGGATACCCAGGATGGTCAGAAAGATGAGCAAGTGGGCCCTCGAGTAAATCAAGCCTGAATGATCCCTGGAAGCAATCCGCCCCCATCCCCCAAAGGCCTTACCTGACTTGGCGCTCCTTGCTGATTCCACGGAGAACCACCGACTGAGCAAAACAGTGGGCCCCTTTGGGCTCCCCGCACGAAGACAGGGAGGTCCCAGGGAGAGAGGACTGGTGGCCGCTCAGGGCATCCGGGAGGAGCTGCTCGTGGGAGACCGGGAAGGGCACGGCAGCCACGGCAGCTGCTACCTGGAGGAGAGGAGACAGGGAGGAAGGGACGAGAACTTGAGTGTCGCTTCTGTAGGTTGCCACCTAAAGGTCAGCCCACAGAAGCCAGGCGGCCACTGACGAAGGCCTGGTTCTTTCCAAGGAAGTCAGGGGTGGGAGCACTTTCTGCAGCTACTTCCACGCACACTTCCGGCCAGGCCTGACCCTCTTTCCCGCCCCCTTCGCGGCTACGAATCCTGCAGGGTCCTGGCCTTGAAGAGACAGAGAGGCTGGCGGAAGAGAGAGAAAGAGAGACATCTGGCGATGGCCACATTGCCCTACCTTCCTCCCGGAGAAAGTCAGGGCTTCCGCAAGGTGCACCATAGAGAGCGTTGAGGCCTGGAGGCGGTAAGGGACGCTGAGCGTGTCCAGCGCTGTGGCGAGGATGGCGCTGGTGTGGTAGTCAAGAGATGCCTGCAGAAGGTCAGAAAGCCGAGCCACACTGACTGCCGGAAATGAGCCTTTTCCCCACAGCCGGGACTCCCGCTCCGGAAGAGAGGCCGGCGGGCCGCAGGGTGGGGCAAATGCTCCAGGGACCCTTCTCCCCACCCGCCAGGACCGAGGCTGGCCCTGAGCCCTCAAGACTGACGAAGACCAGAAGGGAAGGGGAGAAAAACCTTTCTAGGTGGCGTCTGCAAATGTAAAACCACCCCCAGGGTTTATCCGGTGCTTCCATTTGAAAAAAAAAGGGGAAAGGTTGTGTCATGGCGGACTCTCTCAGACCCGGAAGGGCGCCCAGGTGTCTTGAGGTGGATCAGGAAAGGGCAAAAGACACCGAGGGAACCGCTTGCTTTCCAGAGAGCAGGGCGGACAGTGCTTCTCGAGAAATGGGAGTGCCACCAAGCCCCTCCCCCCTCGGGGGCTTATGGCATGCCGGATTATACTGATTTCATCCCTGACTTTTCATCATCACGTTTGAGCAGAAGGTTGAGGGCGAGATGTGAGGAATCTCAGAAGCAGGACCGGGGGGGTGGGCAGGAAAGGGTCCCCAACCGCCAGCCACGGAGCCCAAGGCTCTCACTCCTCCCTGAATCGACTCCTTATTCCTTCTGTCATCACCATGTACCGCTCACCTCGTAGTGCAGGTACGGGAGGGCAACGGGGGGCTCCGGCCGGAGACCCAGGCTCCCGTTCAGGGACATAGGGCAGAAAAGCGAGCTGTGGCTGGAAAGGGTCACAATCCCCAGGACCGTGTTCATGAGCCTGTAGAAATTCCTCTGCGGGATCTGCAAGAGGGGAGGGAAAAAAGAGTAAAAAAAAAAGAGTCGGAGAGCGCTTGTCAAATATCTGAAAGGCTGTCCTACAGAGGAGGGGCAGGAACCATCCTCAATCCTCCCAGAGTACAGGACACAGAACAAGGGGCTCAAGTTAAAGGAAACCAGATTGAGGCTGAGTGTCAGGAAAAAAAAAACTTCTCAATTGTTAGAGCCGTACGACAACGGAATCCATGACCTCTGGCTCCAGTCCAACGCTGGAGGCATTAAAGAGAAAACTGGACCACCCTCCGTCAGATCTGCTTTGGTCTGGACTCCTGCCTTGAACTGGGGGTTGGACTGGATGGCCTCAGAGTCCCCTTCTGACTCCTTGATTCAAAGCACAAAAGCCGTTTTAGACTTACGGTCGACTGCAGCACAGGAGTGAGGCCCCACGTCAGGATTCCCTTCCCGGCGTATTCATCCTGCAGCAACTCGGTGACTTTCGCTCCGACCCCAGAAAACCCGTTCTGCAGGTCGCAGAGAACTTGGAACCCCTGGACGGACGAGGAGAGACGCCGCGTCAAGGCTTGAGACGCCGAACGGGTGTCCGTGCATTAAAATAATGAAGGGGAGGGCAAAAAAGCTCAGTTCTGGAAAGGTTACGGGCAGAAAAGGAGAAGGAAAATAAAAGAAGAAATTCAAGAAGAACCCGCTTCCCTGGTCAGACAAGAGCCGGCCGCTGGACTCGCCTGCAGATAGTCACATTCTTCGACGTAGAAATGCAGCCGGTCTTCTAGCTCATCCAGGTAGCTCGCATCGCGCAGGAGTTTCTCCCCTTGCCCGAAAGCTTCCAGCCGGCTGGAATCCCTGAAGGAGAGAAGCAGCTCGGCTCTAAAGGCCCCTCCCAGGGCTTTCCACCCATCCCTCTCCCTCTCCCCACCCCCCAAGGCCACGAGAAAGGCCACGCCGGCTGACGGAAGCAGGCGCTTTACCCTTCGTGATTGTACTGGTGGATGGTTATGACGCTCCGAGGGTGCAGGGGCGTCCAGAGGAAGTCGGACCAGGCGTGCGCCGCGCTCTCCAAGCCGGATGCCTTTGGGGCCTCGTTCGGCCGCTCGAGACGCGGGTGCCTGTCTGGGGAGACACGGCGGAGAGCATGCTGTCCAGCTGCGCTCCCTTGCATCGGCTGCTGGCGGTGCGTTGCTGGCCTCCGGCAAACGCCCTCGTGATCCCAGCAGAAGCTCTGCTAAGGGGAGACCACGGCCCTGACGTTTTGACCCACAACCCTTCGCCATTCTCTGCAGGAAGAAGGACCTAGGATGTTCTCTCGTTCCCTGCTAGGCTTCAAGCCAATGGGTCCCCCCCCCTCCCTGGAGGTTCTTGGGCTTCTAGCTCCTGGCCAGCACAGCTCCTGGCGGAGGCTTCTGGAAGTTGTAGTCCAAGAAGGAGAAGGACCTAGGATGTTCTCTCTTTCCCTGCTAGGCTTCAAGCCAATGAGCTTCCAGCTCCTGGCGGAGGCTTCTGGGAGTTGTAGTCCAAGAACCTCTGGGGACTCCAGGTTGGGAACACCACCGAGCAATTGGATAAGCGAGGGCTGGCCATGTCGTGAGCCGGCCTGTCGCCAGCGTCGCCCGCCGGTTGGGGGGCCCAGGTCAGGAACACCACCGAGCAACTGGATAAGTGAGGGCTGGCCATGTCATGAGCCGGCCTGTCGCCAGCGTCGCCCGCCCAGACCGTTCCCCTGCTCTCACCCCCTCAAGGAAAGTCACGCAAGCCACAGCACACACATGCACCTTTACCACCAGGAAGAGTCCGAGAAGCTAAGTCGCCATGAGAACTCTGAAATAACGAGAGAGAGAGTGAGAATGATTTACACCCGAGGCCTCAGAGATGAGCAGCATCCATACACTCCCAGGGAAACGGAATTATTTGAAGTGGACAGCGGTGATGTGATAAGCAGTGCAATAAAGCTGCAAAGCAAACCCCTTTTCTGGTTCTCCTATCGTTTCTCCAAAAATGAAACCGGAAAGAGGAACGTCAGGAAGACATGCCCGATACGGGCAGGCAAAGCCAACGCCCCAGGATTGAGAATTCTAGATGAAGATGTTGGCACTGGGGGGGAGTCTTACCTCCGGCCTGCTCAGGCCTTGCAGGAATGGATTGGCAGGGGACGGATCTTCTTGGTGCGTCGACAGATTCCCTCTCCTGAAAAAGGAAGTCCTTTTACTATAAAAAAAGATCTGGCGAGGGGTTGAAAAGCGGTACGGAAGAGGCGGTCTTTCCCCCTGTGCTTTTAAATGAACAGAAGGGACGGAATATTGCTTTATAACCTGATCAGGTTGTACGCAAGAGCAGAGATTAAGTCAGTCTTAAAACTAACCTGATCAGGTTGTACAGAGATTAAGTCAGTCTTAAAAATAGTATTTGGCACCTCATATAAGTAGATATAAGCAATCAGAAAACTGTAATAGCATAGTAATCGTTCTCAAATAATCACAGAAGCGACAGCCTTTCATTATGGATTCCCCAAATTTAGACTTAAATGAATCTGGAAAGAATGGACACCAGAATTTAATTGTTTTTCCTTCCTTCTCATCCCTTTTTCCGTTTATGTTGTAAGTGTGCGCGCTTACAACCAAGAAACACATTAATTCCTGCCGGTAAATTCTGGTGCTTTTAAAAGAAGTTTTAACCTCTGTTGGTTCTTAACTTTTCATTCCATCTGTTCAATCGTCTCTCTCCCACAAAAATTGGGGGCTTCTTTATTCTTTTCTTCCGGGAGAGAGGACGGATTAAATATAAAAAACAGAGCAGCGTCGCATCTGAAACCTCAGGGGCGAGAAACGTTTCTGAGCAGCAAGAATCAGAAATGTTACTCGAGTCGGTCGAGATTCTCTTCCAGAGACCGTATCCTAAGCCTTCCAGTATAAAACGAAACGAAGGACCGACAGCTCTGTAGGGAGAAGGTCTGTACGCCGCGAGTCGGTCGAGATTCTCTTCCAGAGAACGTATCGTAAGCCTTCCAGTATAAAACGAAACTAAGGACTGATAGCTCTGTAGGGAGGAGGTCTGTACGCGTTGGGTGCAAATGGTGGGGGGTGTCTGTTTGGGTTTAGTGGTGGGGCGGGTGGGGGGACTCACCATGCCGTGGGGCGGTTTGCGTTTGTCTCCTCGTACAAGCTTCCTTCTTGCTTCAAAGAGCCCAGGCTCCCTGCGGAGAAGCAAAACACGGACATTTCTCCAGACAGCGGCTGGCGAGTGGAGGACCACGAGCGGAGCCCCCCTTCCCATCATCAGGCACTCACAGGGGGTCAAGGCGGCAGGAAGGGGGGGAAGCGCCACTGGATCAGACTCCAAAGGCTCACAACCTATTCTCACGATGGATGGCCAGCTGACTCCTGGAAGCCCACAAGAAGGATTCAGCATCTTCCCCAGTGCCTGGTGGCATTTCCTTTGCACGCTTTGCAGGACCCACGGGTGGCATCAAAGGTATCAAGCAGGTCCCTCCTTCCAAAGGAGAGGACCTGCCTTGCACTGAGCAGGCCCTGGGTTCAATCCTTGGCATCTTCACTCAACGCGGAGGACCAAGGTTCAAGGGATGCCAAAGGCCTGATCCTGCCCGGGGCTGCGGAGAGCCACGTCTGGTTGGTGGGCAAATAAATACGGGCTCTGAGTGCCATGGGGAGGAAAGGGGAGAGCCGTAATCCACTTGTTTGCCGAAAATTGGCCCGCTGTGTATGGACTCCCTGAAATAGGTCAATCCTAGATCGATACAGGATTTCTTTAGAAGCAACCTCATGGGAAGACAAGACTTGCTTGGGGGGGGGACGACCCTATAATGCTGGGAAAAGCTGAAGGCATCAGAAGAGGAAGACAAAAGATGAGGTGGCTGGACATCATGAAGAAGGTTTCAGCCTTGAGTTTGCAAGACCTGAGCTGCTAATGACAGGTTTTACTTACCCACAGTCTCAAAATATTAAATTTTAAAAAACACAAAAATATGAATTTCCATGGCATGCTTACCAGAATGGGCCACTAGAGGGAACCAAAGACCATGATATGGACAGTATAGCGTTTGTTCTTTCCGCAATTTTCGGCATCCGCGGAGGGGAGGGGCTTGGAACTGATTCTCCCCCCCCCCCAATGCTGGGAAAAGCTGAAGGCTCCTGTGACAACCCACACATGCCTTAGTATCCGTGGGGGGAAACCAAGAAGGAAAAGCACTTGGAAGGAGAAAGGCCGCAAATAAACGTACACGGAAGGAAGGTGCCCGGCTTCCGTGCAGGTTTTCGCGTGCGCAAATTACCCACCTTTGAGATCCATGAGGATGAGCCGGGGTGTGTACGTCGCACGTCCTTGGGGATTCCTCCCCGGTCGAAACAGCACATCGTGGCGAATCGCGTCATCGGAGTCGCCCTCGCAGAGCGAAGCTTCCTGGGAAAACGAAGGGGGGATGAATCGAGGCTTCCCGCACAAAACGCCAGCAAACAACCCACACCGTGCTCAACAATAACGTGTCCGTTAACCTCAGAAAGGGATACAAGACTTAGTACCCTTTTTATGGCAGTGGAAACAAGAACGACTCCCCGCTCTCTTTGAAGAAAGGAAAACATTTTATAACAAGGAAATTTATTTAGGTAAGTATTTCAGAGCCTGAGAAGCAGGGCCTGCCTCAGTTTTTTTTGTGCAGAGGCCAGGATTTTTTTTACACATCTTATCATTAGGAAACAAAATTACTATTAACCTCCTTAAAATAAATAAATAAATAAACCAGAGGTTACAATCTGCCCTTAAAATGAATACTATGTTAACTTTCCACACACACACAAGTGGCAGGATAAGTGACCTGAAGGGCTAGGGGGCCACCCTTAATCGTGAGGTGAGGGTGGCCTCAGAAAGGGATCCAAGATTTAGTACCATTTTTATAATGGAGGAAACAAGAACAATCCCCCCATCTTTGAAGAAAGGAAAACATTTTATAACAAGGAAATTTATTTAGGAGTTTCAGACACTGAGCCTGAGAAGCAGGGCATGCCTCTGTTTTTTTTTTTTTTTAAGTTTTGTGCAGGGGCAAGAAATTTTTTACACATCTTAGAAATAAATGACTGGGGAGTAATTTATTTATTACCTATGTATTCAAAATGAATATTACTGATTTTGAGAACAGCAGCTCTGGTTGGTTTGTTTCAAAAGGGGTTTTATTTGGCTTTCTGAAATCATTAGGAAACAAAATTACGATTAACTGCTTTTAAAAAATAAATAAATAAACCAAAGGTTACAATCTGCCCTTAAAATGAATACTATGTTAACTTTCCACACACACACAAGTGGCAGGATAAGTGACCTGAAGGGCTAGGGGCCACCCTTAATCGTGAGGGCTAAAAATTATAAAAACTGAAAATATATATCATTGTTCGGGAAATAAACTCGGGAGAAGGGTGTGTGTGACCGTATGAAGAGTCCCTAGTGGAATAGAGGCGTACACGGGTCCATATCCACATTCACACGTACGCCTAGACACGGGAAGGAGACAAAGCCCCCCCCCCCCCCACGGCCCCCGCCTCTCGCAAGCCCTTTATGTTCCCCTCCACGGCCCCGCCCCTCACAAGGCGCATGCGCACTCCTCCCCCTCCGCGCCCGCTCGCCGGCCCGCCTTGTACAGTACCTGGATCCCCCACCAGTGGGCGCCGACGCTCCCGGCGTAAGGGCCCAACTGGAGCGTCACCACCTCGCGGGACCCCGACATCCCGGCCTCGCGCCCTCCGTTTAGGGGTTTGGGGGGGCGCTCGGAGACCGTTGGCGGGAGGGGCGGGGACCGCAATCTGCGCAGGCGCGGGGGAAAGAAGGCGCCGCGCTCGTGCGCCGCGCGTGCCGCC